GCAGTAATTTGCTTATCACTTTTGACAAAAAGATCGATATTAGGTCTTTAAAACGTGATACAGACTTCTATAACGGATACACAAATCTGGAACAGTTACTCAGAACTTTGTATCCGTTACAGAAGTCTGTATCGATTTATTTTACGGATATTCGTATCAAAAGTGAAATGCAAACTACTGCGTAACAAATTACAGAATTCTGTACTTTTTTTTTAGACTGCATGTTTTCTGGTGTGACGCCGTCGTGCGGAGGCCTGACCTGGTGTCGCGTTACAGGAAAAGGACCCCAACGTCAAGGTGCGGACCCTCGCGGACCGCAGCCTGTGCAACGAAGCACTGCCCACCTTCATCAACGAGAACGCTGCCTGGTCGCAGCTCGCCGGCGAGGCCGACCTGCGCCTCGCCAGCAACCTGGCGAGCTCGCCAGCCCGATAGTTGTAGGTTTTAATGTAAAGGTTTCGGATGATGAAAGGGGCAGAGCGATGCAATAAAAACTTGATTAGAACCTATGAGCATTGTTTAATTTCCCTTTTGCTCTGCCATTCGTATTTTGCCGCGTGAATAAAAGTGATAATCATTGACGAGTTGCAGAGAGTCATAGAATAGCCATAGCAACCTGAGATTTAAACCAAAAACAAAAAAAAAAACAAAAGCAAAAACAAAAACAACAACAAAACTTGAGAAATGTCCTCAGCCTGCTTTTAATTTTCCTCGGTCGCGGTGGTATTTTAACTGCCGGTTGCACGGAGGTGATTTATGTCTAAAGCTTAGTGCCACACTGCCCGCAAGGCGCTCCGGCCACCCGGGGTAGGCGAACCCGCCAGTCGTCGTGGCTATGCTGTACCGCACGCAGGCGTGCGTGTTGCCTACCTGCAACGCCCGTTAGGCGCTACGGCCCCCTAGGGTAGGAAAACCATGCCTTACAGTGTGGGGGACTGCTTGTTAAAAACACCGACTGGCCGTCTGCGGCGGCTGCCCGGGGAGGCAAAGGTGTGACGCGCCGTGCCCCCCCCCCCCCCCCCCACACACACACACACACACTACTTAACGACCTGATGCGGCGGCCGGCGGCTTTGACGAAGACGAATGCTGTTTGCGCTGTGTGCTCGACCTGACCGCCGCGCCGCCTGCAGGAAGCATCGCCGCGCAAAACTGAATCAATCCGCACCAACACCATGGGCGAGGTGGTCATCTCCGGCATCGGGAGCGCCTTCTCGGAGAGCGGCAACGTCCAAGACTTCGGGCGCGACCTCCTCGCCAACAAGCACCTCGTGCAGACGACGAAGCGCTGGAAAGATGGTGAGAGATCCCAGCGATAGCTCGAGAGGCGCACTTTTCAAACCGCACTTGAAATGCACGAGTCGCTACAATATTGGGAGACCGCCGCATTTAACGGGGAAAATACAATAGATGTTGGATTTTTACATAGCAGAGTAGTAAAATAATAGAAAGTTAATGGATTAATTTTGTACATGTGGTTAATGTAATAGAAAGTTACGTGGGTAGACAAACGAACCCGCTCGCCCGCACGAAAAAAAGGGGAATAAGCTACAAATTAGCCAATGCCTTCGGTAATATGGCCTTAGCTCGAGTAGATAATTATTATTAGCTAAGAGAGCTAAAAGAATCAGCTGTAACAGTTGTCCAGGGGAGAAAAAGCAACTAGCTTTGAAAGTTAATTTGTTAGCCTTCTTAGCTAAGAATTAGCTAAGCGAGCCAATATTACGATCCAGGGCCAAATTAGAGAATGTATTATAGCTATTTTAGCGAATTCTTTTTGTTTTCGTGCGTGCTCCGAAAGACCCTTGGGCGGGGAAAATCCTCCTGGTACAATCCCTCTTCTCAATACGTTTTCGCCGTCACAGACGTCTTTACGCCTGTCTGCGGCCATATCCCTCACGAGTACTTCGACGATCTGTTCTTCGGGATCAACCGCAAGCTGGCCACGATGACGGACCCGTCGTCCAAGATCGGCTACATGCGCAGTTTCGAGGCCATCCTAGACGCCGGTAAGAAGCGGTGACGGCAGGCCGCGCAGCCGGTCGGCAGAGATGACGGCAAGCTGATGCTGACGGGGACATTCACCCACTACCTTGCGCAGGTTTCCACCCGGCGGCCCTGAGCGGCTCCAACACGGGCGTGTTCGCGTGCTCCGGCATCAATGAGTTCGAACAGAAGGTCATTTACTCCTCCGAACTCAGTCTTAAAGACGGCTACGCTGTCATGGGATTGTCTCGCACCATGCAACCCAATCGTATCTCGTACTACTTTAACTTCAACGGTGAGCGTTCAGAGAAATCAAAACACGGGAAGAAAACCTGAGTCCCGTCCTGTCTAAGCCATCCTGCGTCCTCCAGGGCCCAGCTGCGCCATCGACGGCTCCTGGGTTGGCGGAATCGAAGGGCTGAAGCAAGCCGCTGAAGCCATCCAGCAGGGGCGGTGCGAAGCCGCGCTCGTCGTGGCCGGGAGCATCAGCCGGTACGGCGAGACTTCGCTGCTGCTGAAGAGGCTGGGGCTCGCGACCGACCAGGGCGCCACCAGGAGCTTCGACGCGAACGGTGGGTAACCTTAATCTGGAATGATCATTCAAGTACGTGTAAATTTGACGAGCATTCGTCCGAATAAAATCGATTTTGGGGCACATTATCATCAAGATAACGGCTTTTGGCTTTAATATGAAAGCACGCGGAGGCGGAAGAAACGATACCTTCACAGCAAACAGTTTCTTGTAAATTTTATGCGAATTCGTATTCGCAAAGTCTTAAGACTTTGTTAATATTCAGGACGCAAGCTGCAGTTACACATTCTCACATTTGCATACATCTATCAGCACTATTGACTACATCGAAGAAGACCGCTACACTGTTGAAAAATGTGATGAAAAAAAATATCATTGCTACTTAATTTTAGTACCTACCTCATCGTGGAATTTTCGTAATCTAATGAAATGAATTTCCGTGAACTGACGAGAAATCCGTGATAAGTTGTTTGTAGAAATAATTAGCCACAACATTCTCGTTTTCATCATAAGTATTTTTACAGTGATATTAGAATTCACATGAGCGTGCTGTCAATCGGCTTCAAAATAGCTTGTAGATCGATATTTTTGACGGGAACAGTATTTTAAAAAATTATCGTTTTATTGCCCTAGAACGGGAGTGTCTTTCAATCTTTTCAGTCATGATCCTTCTGGTACGTTCTTCTCGTAAATTTTATAATGTCTTTTTGTTTTCGATACGTTCTCTACAATCGCTTGAGAGTTTCGATGTTATCGAATGTTACTAACACAAGGTCAGCGTGACTCCAAGCACGGCCTCAGCGTTTTGCTCCTGTTGCAGGAACCGGGGCGGTGCGCAGTGACGGGGCCGTCGCCTTGTTCCTGCAGCGTGCCGACCTGGCCAAGCGGTGCTACGCCAGGGTGCTGGCTACCGAGGTCGAGTTCTTATGGCCGCGTTGCGACCTGGACCTGACACTGCCCAGCCCGAAGGGCTCCCGGGACTTCCTGCAGCGGATGTACAGGAAGCACGGCATCGACCCCAAGAAGATCGCCTACCTGGAGGCCGACGGCAACGGCAACCGTATCCGGGACGCGTGCGAGCTCAACGCCATCGACCAGGCGCTGGTCCAGGAGGCGGCGCGAGAGAGCCCCCTGCAGATAGGCTCCGTCAAGAGCAACATCGGCCCGGTCGACTGCGTCAACGGCCTGGCTGCGATCTGCAAGGTCGTGGTCGCCATGGAGACGGGCATCATCCCGGCCACGATCAACTACCAGAAGCCCAACACAGAGGCCACGGGTTTGGTAGCGGGCAGGCTCAAGGTGCGTGGACAGGGCGTGGGGGTGGGGGGGGGGATTCTAACTCAACAGCACCATGACCTCTGCGTACTGCTGCAGGTCGTGGACAAGAACACGCCGCTGCAACTGTCCGAGGACAGCGTCCTGGCCGTCAACACCATGGCACTCTCCAACATGATGGGCCACACTGTGCTCGGCGGCAACCCCCGTGGCCCAGGGCGCGTCCAGGACCCCGCCGACCACCTGCCGCGCCTCATCACCTTCTCGGCCAGGAACGAGGAGGCGGCCTCCAGCGTTGCGAGCAAGGTGAGGCTACGGCGCCAGCACACACCCAGATCCACCATGACAGTACGGCTACAGTATTAATGTTGTTCGTGAAATGCAGATACAATCTGCTCCATTTGACACAAACTACTACCGCTTGCTGCAAGACGTGTACAAAGAAGACATCAGAGGGTACATCTACCGGGGCTACGTCATCTGCCCCTCCACCGGGGAGGCCCCAATCATCGCGGTAAGTTGTGTGCGGTGGCTTGTCATCGGCGTACCATGCAGTGTCGCTAACGCCCTCCCCATCGGCAGCCGCTGGAGAAGAAGACGGTGTGGTTCGTGTACTCGGGCATGGGCAGTCAGTGGGCGGGCATGGGCTCTGCGCTCATGAAGCTCCCTGTGTTCGCCGAGACCATCGAGCGCCTCCACGCCGTGCTGGAGCCGCGCGGGCTGGACCTCAAGGCCATCCTGACCGACACGGGGCCGACAGCGTTCGACAACATCCTGAAGTCGTTCGTGGGCATCACCGCCTGCCAGGTCGCGCTCACCAACGTGCTCACGGCTGTGGGTGTCGTCCCGGACGGCATTGTGGGTCACTCCGTGGGTGAGCTGGGCTGCGCCTACGCCGACGGCTGCCTCACGGAGGAGCAGGCGATCCTGGCCGCGTTTGCACGTGGCAAGGCCTCCAACGCGGCCCCGCTCATCAAGGGCAAGATGGCCGCCATCGGTAGGATTTCCTCATCGGCTACCCACCCCCCTCCCCCTCATAAGTTCTCAACAACTTCATGTTGCCCCAGGACTCGGCTACCATGATGTACTACCCCGCCTTCCGCCCACCATCGACGT